TATTATAAATATAGGAAACTCAGATTTCTTTTTTTTTTCTTTTTTCTTTTTTTTGGCTTTTTAGTTTTTCTTCCGAAAATTCTCCAACAAAGTAACCAATTATATACCCAATGTGTTTCCATGTTTTTTTTCTCTGTGCCTTAGAAAGCGAAGCCGATTAAGGCACATTTTGATGGAATTATTTGACTAAGTTTCGATTTCAAGTATAAACCTAAGCTACCAAATGCTTTGAGAAAGGGCCAAAATTAATTATAATTTAATCCTCCTTTAAATTACTAGGCTGCTTTTTGTAAATTTAGTTGGCTAGGTTGCTAATAAGTTGAGGCCCTTGGTGGTTGATAATAATTTAACGTATAACAAAAATCAACCTAAATTAGTTATTTATACCCACGTGCAATATTGATTAGATCATGAAAAAGTCGAGATTAAAGTAATGATTTGTTTTCTAAACTTTATTTTGTAACGATTTTATCCATGTATTTTTAAATCGGTAGCTATTTAGTCTATTAAATTTAGTCTTTGCGCTTTCAAATTATTAGTAACTATTTAGTCTATAAACATTAATATGTAACAATTTTGTCTCTATAATTTAAAATTTGTAACAATTTTAGTCTCTATCGTTAAAAATCTCATTAAAATTAAATGTTGATTTTTATTATGCAACAATTTAGTCTGGGTAGTTTATAAACATATTTGATCCTTAGTTTTTCGATTTACATATATATGAAWCCTCATTAAATTTTGATTACATTTTTTATAATAGGAATTAAATCATTATAAACTTTGAATTACAGGGGACCGGACCAAATCGTTACATATGCAAGTTCAATGACTAAATTGTTACAAATTTAAAAGGTCAAGAAATAATCATTATAAACAACGGTACTCATCGTACTCTAAGTATCTCTAGAATGATATGATATTGTTTGGTTTCATACAAAAGACCTCRTACCAATAGAATTAATTGTCATCTCTTATAATATGATGGATCATTTCCTTCCCAAACCAATGTAGGATTTTGTTTGCACATTTTACAAACCCAACACTAGTAGTGATAGACCATACTATTGATCGACAACTATTAGTGCGATAAACTATATAAGACATTTATCACGATGTAATCTATCAATGATAAACTATATTATCAATAGAGGTTTCATAAATTATATTATCATTGATAGATGTCTGATCGACTACATTAGTGATAAACTATATTATTGATGGAAYGAAAACGTAAATGAGTAAAAATGTCTAAATAGGCATGCAGAAATTTTTTTAAAAAGATAATCTTATTGCTCTATTTGCAAGTACAACGGTGTGAATGGCCACCAATTGACGATCACACCACACTATTAACACATTTACAAAAATCAAGACACAAAAAGAGCTCAAATAGCCCCTATATAATCTTTTATAAAAGGAATTAKTAACAGAGGAGAGAATATTAACCTTCATCGTTAAGAGAGTTTGAATGATTTTTTTCTCTTCTGTGCAAGAAAAAAAAAAGTAACTTTGTTCTCATAAGAGGGGAGTTGCAGTGAGAGCGGGTCAGAGATTGGTAAAAGCTAAAGAGAGAGAGAGACAAGAGGGTGAAAAGAATTATGCCCTTGAAGGTAAAAAATGACAAGTTTGCAATTTGATGGTATGGCCAAAGTCAAGAATAAAGAGGTAAATTTCGCAAATTTCTAAAAAGCTTACTAATTTTACCGTACCAAGAACAAGAATATCTCGTGAAGGGCCTTTTCAGTTCATTCTGAGTCCATAAAAAATTGAAATAATAGAGTATGAAAACGAAAAGACAAATAAAGAGGGAAAAATATTGGCTGAACAATTAACAATAACACAGCATACGAGGGAGGAGGCTGGAGAATGGCAATGCCAAACCTTTGTCGTTGTGCTTTCTTTTCAGAATCATTTCTTTGCTCACATCACATCACCGACCTCAAATGTTAGGCTCGATGTTAAAAGTATTGACAAATGATTAACTTTTCCGTAACTTAAGTTAACATGATATTAGAGAAAGAGACCCTGAACTCATTTTTCCTTCCATAAATATTGACGATTATTAGTTAAGTCTTGTGCAAATTTTCAAGTTTCGTTTCCTAGCTTTTGGAATGTGGTTGTAGTGAGAATTCCTCGAGAAAAACCCTCATCTCATGTATTATTTCTTGGTTAAAATACTATTGAGTACTTCATGTATTTTAAGATTTATATTTTACACTATCGTATGTTGGCCCCGTTGGTTTAAAGGGTATTGATAAATTTTGAATACAATTAGGATAAATATTGATCATATATAGTCAAAGATCAAGTGTCCTTTATTTATAACAATTTTTATCGAACTTAACTTGTATTACAATTTTCTTTTTCCAAAAATAATCTCAGGTAAAACCAAGGCTAAAGGCTAACAAAATGCCCCCATGAGCTCTTGATCTAAATATCTATATATCCTAATTAAAAAAAATATCTAAACAAAAGAAACTGGGTAAAAGATAAAAAACAATTGCTACATGGATGCCCAAAATTTCCCAATGGACTCCCTCCTTCATATCAGATCTGCTGCTCACCTATTTCTTCTTCTCCACTTGCATTCTCTCTTTTTTCTTCAATCTCTAACAGAAATCAAGATCATCCAGCCGAAACAAATGAAGAACGTCGTAATGCATGATGATTCCCGTTATATAAATCCTTGTCCATCGTTTGATACAGTTAAAAATACAGAAATACTTCAGAAGTCGAGGGTGCCACACTGTTTGCTCTCGATGCTTTTCTCATGTCCACCACTTCCCTTCATTTCCCTCTTCTCCTCATTATCAAGACCTCGACTCCGCCCGATACCCAACTTCGGCAAACCTCGGTTTAGGCCCTCGAGCAGAACACAAGCTTTACACCATTTCTACATGAAGTAAATGGAAATAACAGATGCTCAGAAAATTAGAAATGAATGCCAAAATAAATAGTTAGAAGCCTCCTGTTGGTGTAAATTGATTAGGCATGAGTAAAAATAGGTAGAATGACAGTAGGTTTTCCAGATATGATAGTTTGCATCCCAAGACAAGTTCAGCAAGTTGGTAAAACTTTATTGGGGAAAAAAACTACAAAGGCTGTTCAAAGTATCTGGACATGATTTTGATTAGTGATCATTCTCAGTCCACACATTGCGACTATTTGGGGAGTAGAACTATATGGTAAATGATCCCAAATGATAGGCTGAAAAGCTCTGTACCAGAAAATGAATAGGGTTGGGGACACATGTAACAGAGAGTAGCTACAATTTCTTGTAAGCGATTACGTTGACGAGTTTCTGAACATATGGTGAGCAATGGAGAATGTTATCGAAAAAAGATGACAAATAGTTCCAGATCTAGAGGTACTTAAAAATCTACATACAATGCACAATTGTGGAGGTGATAACATTAGGAGTGCACTATAGTTACAAAAAGAATAAACCCTGGTACGTCTGGGAAATTTTGTGTTCTTATCATGTAAAATAGGAGCAGATCACACCTGGCTTGAAATGTAGCCGCATCGCTCACATGTCCCTTGCTCAGGCAKCTTTGTTGAAGTGGAAATCCTGAAATCCTCACCGGATTTAATGATATCAAGAATAGCCCTAGGTCTGCATTAGTGTTCATAATGTAACAAGCTTAGTGAGAGAGAATCATAGGTAACACAATCCTTGTCAGCAAGTAAAATAATAAATACTAGTCTTGCAATGACTAGTTAAAACTTAAATTGAAACCTGATTCGTTCCAAATCCTTGATAAATTCACGAGCAAAACCACGATAAGCATTTGGAGAGTAAATGCCTGCAATTTTGAGAAAGAGATTCAAAGGCATGTAGAAAGGAACATTGTAAAGTCAAAATTTCCACGGAAGCCAGTGCAAATCTACATAAGGCTTAGACCCAGAATATTTTAACATTTTGTAGAAATAACATCGTAGATTAAAGCATAATAAGAATGCCTCAAGTTGTCATGGATACAGAGATAAATGCAAAGTTTGAAGCTGACATATTTGAAGTTATTTTGAGATCAACACATCTCAGACATAGCACAACAGATGCAAATGATACTTTAGGACAACGAAAAGCAAGACATCTAAGACAGAACTAGTTTTGAAATATAATTGCAGCTCAAAGAGACAACCTATAATTGATGAATTCATACTCAGATAATGTATTTTTAAACGATCACTCGTTCAATAATAGTTAATTAAGCCAATTAGGACGTCAAGTTTATAGCAGCAAATTGAATATAATGAACCCATATTGGTTATCAATCATACACAGAAATTYGAGGAAACTAAAAACAAAAATGGCTAAAACAAGAAAGACTTACACTCGGTGGAGAAGTAGTCCAGCTTCTTGAAATAAGCATACGTGAAAATCTGGTTAAGGCCTTACAACTAGCATCAACCATTAATGGTTTTATAAAAATATATATATATATATATATATAAACTAATGGTATATGATGCAATCGTTGCTTAACAATTATGAGACTACAATAGAAGGATATATTACAATCTCCTTTTCATATGTGTACTTGAAGGGTTTGCATCTTGGAATTGGTCCATCTTCACCAGTTATTATTGCAGTACATCTACTCAATCTATAAATTCAAAACATCGGTTCAGTCTAGTGCAGACCAAATGAGGGAGCAAAAGTTTAAAAATCATAAAAAATAAAGAAAAATATTAATTTAGAGTACCTTGCAATATCACCACGTAAAATATTCAATAGAACTGTTTCAGCCATGTCATCTGCATTGTGCCCAGTGGCAAGCTTGTCTACTTTCAACAAAGCAGCACCTCTATCAAGAGCCTTCAGGAAAAAATCCATCRATACATACAATGAAACCATGTCAACCAAATTGATTTACTACGGCTGATTTTACATCTTAACATCATATATAACTTGCTATGCTTTATTTACAAAAACAATGAGAATATTATTCCATGATAATGCACAAGTAAAATTAAACAAGAGAAACGGGTGATCTTTAAGACCAAGTGGATCGAAAAGAGAAGCACAAAAAACCCATGTTGAGACAGGATGCCTACCAATTACGTATGAGACAGTGCATCAAGAACTATAAAAGCACTAAAACAGGAAATTCCAATTCCTTGTGTTATTAAGGAGAACAACGTTAACAAACAAACAGGGGCGCTACATGATATGCAAGTCCATGAGCATGGGCACACACTGCCAGAATCACAACACCACCCTCACCTGAGCATTTATTTTATTTTATTTTATTTTCAGGGGCTGCATCAACACCATATTCTAACTTAGACACTTTTTTTTTCTCTCATTAAATAACAGCAAGCCTCAAATGACAATTKATGTACTCATGGGACAAACTCCTTTTTCCCAACTCATCGAGCAATACACAATGCAGATAATGAATGAAGTATATCTTCGTCTCCAATGCACTCACTCTTGTAAATGCTCGAGAGGTTCATATAAGATAATAACTGTAATAAAAAAATATAGTGGAATGGATGGTTTGTCAACCCTTTCCTGCAAAGAGGAGAGAAGTAAAATCCAAGCGCAGAATACCACTGTAAAGTCATAGAAGGAGTTGTTTCAGACCTGTCGACGAAAAACCCCACAAAAGGTGCAATTATTCTTTAAACCAATCATCTTCACTATCTCGTCCATTGTCCAGCCATATAAATCCTTGTATGATACAATTTGTAGGGGCAACCCATACTGAAAAGGAATAATTGAAGTGAGAATGCATATTAAAAAATCGAACTTTTTAGTATTTTGTTTCTATCACAATATATTAACTCAGAGAGAATCATAGAGCTATCAAGAAATAGTGGGAAATAAGAGTTGATTCATTACCCCGTGGAGGGGGGGACAGAGATTACAGAAGAYGAGCGAGTCATATTCCGTTTGTTAATTAATAACTTAATATTATGTTCATCTAGAAATGATCTGCAATATTCCCAATTTAGTAATAGTGAGACTCAAACATTTCTAGAAGGAAGGAAAGGGGAGAATCAATCAAAAGGAAGTCAAGAAGGRTTCTTCACCTGAATTTCATTTCTTTTCACAGTTTCAAGAGAGTCATCTCTGTATCCAGTGATGCCCTCATCAACTGATAAAAGAAAGAGATCAAGCCCGTAATTGTGCCGCCGATTCAATTCTGATAACACATAAGCAAGAACGGTAGAATCTGCATAAAGTGGGAAGAGTAAATAAAATAAGGACAGGTTCTGAATTTCCCATCCCCCTCCCCTCAAATTCCTCCTTCCCACAAGAAAGGGGAAAGGTTAAGTCAAAACATGGTAAAAGTTAGACTCTGAATCACAGTAGATCAAATTGTTGCCACTCAATTTCTGTTCAAAGTGAGATACAAATCCTTCATGACTGAAAAAACTTCCATACTAAATATAACCAATAATTTTTTAGAACGAAGAAGCCACAACTTCTAACATTAATAAACGAAAGTAATATATTCACAAACCATCTCAGTAAACATGTTCTAAAATTTCAGAGTCTATCCATTTTAGTAGTAAAAGAAATAATATAACTAATTTCTAAAAGAACAAGGATGGTGCTTAAACCAAAAAATAATTCTCTTCTTCAAAATTCATCTCTCCTGTATTGTATGAGAGGATATAATTTACACGCCAGTAGTTTTTCACATAATCTTAAAGACTACAAATGATTTAGAACTATGAAGAATCTGTGTCCACCTTTTCCACCAGATGCACCAACAGCAATTCGTTCCCCAGGTTTGAACAAGTGATTCTTCACAATAACTTGATGGATCTCCTCCTCAAATACCTCATAGAAACATTCTCTGCATATCTGTAAAAGCAATACACATGGTCATATAGGATATATCCTCCTTGTAATCTACTTAAGCCCATCTCAGTTAGCCTTTCTAAATTGACAGTTAGGTCGCATTCTTCTCCTCTAGACAGACTGAAGCAGAGAAAATAATGAATTCTGCCCTCGACATCAAATTTGCATCTTAACGAACCCAGTAAATAAACAGATAAACAAGAAATCAGAAATACACAAAGGCTGTATCTCCTATCACAGCATCTGAAACTACTWAGAAAAATGAATGGTAGAATTGACAGAGTATCTCGACAATTAACCAGGCTACTTATAACTAACAAGGAAAGCGTGTATAATTTACATGAACAGAAATTAGAATCGCTGGTTCTTCAATGGTAAGAAGGAATCGGCATCGGGGAAGGAAATTTAACCTGTTGCAGGGTTTTTGGCCTCTTRAGGGAAGGTTTTCTGTTGTTACAGATGCAGCAAAGGGAAGAGACGCCCTTCTTGGCTCTGGCGCCGCCTTCCTCCATCGTCAGTTCGATGGATTTCTGCTCAAACTCACGACACTGACGACGACGAGGTTTGGAACAGCCCAAGGAATTTTTTTTTTTCTTTTAACAATCATTTTTTAATTTTATTTGGAAGGTTTAAATTTGATTTTGAATTTTTTAAATTAGACTAAACAGACCAAACATATGGTTTACTCCCTAATGTCTAGGAGTTTTTCCGATTTAGTCGTCTAAAAATGTTGAATTTATTTTAATATTTTCTAACTTAATCTAATGTTAAAATAAACATGGATGGATATCAGTAATTACCTTACCTTATATAATATTTAGTGAATCGATAAGAATTTAGAAGAGAAAAAAAAATTGTAAACTCAAAACTTCTACTGATCGTTAATAAATTTAAACATGTTTACCTTCAATTCATTAGATATCGTTTTGTATAAGTTTATTATTTAACATTTACAATGAGGGGAGATTAAATTGAAAACTGTAAAAACATAAGTAACTAATGTAATAGAATTAAATCGAAAAAAACTTCAAACTAAAACATATGTCCTCTAAATTATTTCATTTTGAATTTTAAATCTTTTAAATCTTTATTTATATTTATATCTATAAATTCTCAAATAGATATTTTGATTCTTAAAGTTTAAAATATAATAAGTAGATAATGTTATTTTGAATATGCATATTAATGTCTTTTCTTTTTTTACAACATGTGAGAGGGCGATTCCACCTTGCAAACTTTTTCGTTATAAATTGTTATTTTAACTAGTTGAGTGATGTTCAAATTGGTATATATATTAATATGTTAGTAGGAACATGTATTGAAACCACATAAAATTGATCGAAAAGAATATTAGGTGAGTAAATATTAAATAAAATAAAAAATGGATATTTGGAGAGTGACTAGTGAGGACATCTCAACAACATAGGAATCCTACAACGATAGATAGAATCCCCATAAAAATACCACTAGATCGAGCACCAGTGATTTCGTGTCCGGTCAAAATCTTGGCTAATTGATCGAAGTAGGTAGCTCCAGTAGACCCATAGATCATGGAACAAATAGGGTGGGTAGGCCCAACCACCACACTACACGTATAGACGTAAACCCCCCTCGTTACCGTACTCTCACCGCATACGACTCGCACAAAGACTCCGTCATCCATCCCGAGCCTTTTCTTCCACCTCTCCTCTCCAATCCTCGATCAAACTTGCGTTCCCCAGGCGCTATGAAATGAGGGTCTTTCCTTCGCCTATCATATGTATTGGCTTGGCTTCGTGCAGAACCAAGGAGGCATTCTGGCGGGCGCGTGCGTGTAGGAAGGCCGACCACTACATAAGCTAAAAGACAACRACTACAAGCCAAACCAAGTTTTTGAATTCGTGTTTGAGTTTTATTATTGACTTTTTCCTTTTTATTGTCTGAGCTGTTGCTTTTATTTGTTGCATAATTACTTTTCTATGCAAAGAAGGCTTATCATAAGTTTATAGTGACTACTAACCTGAACATAATTCAATTGGTTAAGACACATATTTTCGATTAAAAAGTCGTGAGTTAGAAAAAAAAACCTTATATGTATTAATAGACAATTTTCTCATATCATTATTATTAAATTTATTTTATTTTTAACCATTATCAACTTTTTTAACAAAGAATTAAAGAACWCTTAGAGACAATTTTCTACCTGAATACTTCATTCTATTTTTCCATCAAATATAATTATTTCCAATCAAAAGRGGTGATCTAATGGTAAGCGCCATAAGAGTATAAATTCATATATGGAATAAAAAAATTAACCTCAATGCTGAACTTGATAATATTATATCAATTGTTATCCTAACGATTGAATTTCATCAACTTACATATTTAACTTTTGATTAGTGTTATAATTTTCACCTTGAACTTCAAAAATGTTGTAATGTATACCTTTGATAGATTTTTATATGAATAATTGTTGAAAAAATTATTTCCTTATGCATCAAATGGATTATAAAACATATATTGGATAGGAAACTAATAGCGAATATTTTGAGAAATTATGAAAATTAAAGTAAAAGAAACAGGAATAATTAATTAATTTAATTATTTTAAAAGTCAGAGTTCACCATGCACATTTATTGGTCAGCTTTCGTTTCGCCAGTCTCCACATGTGGAACTGAATTACCACGTGTCACGGCAAGAATCGTCCACGCCACAACGTCAACACGTGAAGAGGGAGAGTACAAATGGGAAAATGCGAGTGCGTGTGATTGAGGAACAGGAGAGAGAATACATGGGCCTCTCATCCGGGATTCTACCGTCCAAACAAAATGCGCAGCCTAATAGTTAATTATTATTATTAATATTTTTTTTATGTGAAATGTTATTTCAATTCTACAGTCAATCGAACCTAACGGGAACTCAGGTAAGTAGTAATGGACAAATTTTTCTGATTTAGAGGTTATGAGTTCAAACCCCYCACCCTACGTACTAAAAAATGAATGAAATCATGTGTCAATAATGTCTCCCCTATAAAGGGAGGAATCCCTCCTTTGTAAAACGAAGTGAAAACCATTCAGGATCTCCATGTTCTCTTATCTCTAAAACTTATAACTTGAACGTTGGAGGATATTTGGCCGGGCACTTCAGGGTGTCGTCGTAGGTAACCCCGTATAACGACCATAGCGTCGGACACGTAAGCCAATCGAATTTTGACATCAACCAGTATTAATTTTTTCCGGATAAAACTATGACAATATAATTTGATATTAATTTGTTTAAAGGAAAGTAGGATTATATATATATATAAATACATGGAAAAGCCAAAAAAAAAAACTACTAAAATCTAAAAAAGAAAAGAGACACCAGTTTGGACTACTAAACATTTTGAGTGAGAGTTAATGACTAATTAACTCAATGATCAATTTACATAATTATTGTCAATAATGGATTACTAAAAATGCAGCTTAACAAGTTGATTATCATCAATGTTGCACGTAACATCATCATAATATGAATATCCTACTTGTGACTGTGTCATTATTTTGYTTTTTATATTTTCAAAGCATTGATGTATATATGAATTATATGGCCGATCTTAGAGTGGTCTCACATCTCTAATCTAAAAAAATTAAAAAAAAATAGTTGGTTATACTTTCGTTGATTACATGTAACATCATTGTAATATCCTACTCATTCTTGTGTTACTGTTTTGTTTTTTTTATAAGCGTAACTGTGTGAATTATATATAACTGATCTATAAAGGTAGAGTGGTCTCATATTTCTAATTTTTTAAAACTATTTAGTTATTATAGTCTAATTATATTCATTATTACACGTGTGGTTTCATATTAATATTTATTAATAGTTAAAAATGAGATTCTTTTTAGTATTTAATTTAAAAATCTSAGTCTTGAGAGGTTTTATTAAATTGGGAAGCAAACGTATATTTAAAAAAGAGGTTAAATTTTTAATTGCTTAGTTTATTATCAAATTTTTAGATCTAAAATTATTGAATAAATAACTCTCTACCACACTCTWAAAAAACACAACGGAAAATATATTTTCTATCTTCTCTGCTTTCTCTGGTTTTCATTTTCTGMTCTTTCAAGAGCAATAGTAAAAAGAGGAGTGTTCTTTTGTTTGAGCCAACCTAATATTTTAGTTGGTTGTTGTGTATGTTGGAGGGGACACACCATAGAAGATCTGTTACAGTGGTTGATAAAGAAATAAACACCGTAGAAGGTTTAAATCTCCTTAAAGAGAGCGAAATACCTGCATCTCGACCTAATTGTTTACTTATTTGTTTCTCAATATATTTACTCAAATTAACCGTCTAGTTTATAACTTGTCACTTTTMGAGTAAAATTTAAAATTTGTTCTTCAAAATTTGGAAATCAACAATGCATGCGAAGTCCGGACGGTGGTGCCGGCCGTGATGGAGGCATTGACGAAGGTCGTTGGAAGAAGAAAAGGGGAGAAAGAATAAGAAGAGAGAAAAAAGATGTCAAATCATGGTCYATTCACCAAAAATAATATAATGTTAATATAATTCAATATAGCTTGAACTTCAGATTTCAAAGATATTCTGTGAGGTATCAAGTCACCCAAACTATTCTTTGGGACCCTCTTTTTGCAAYTTAATATAGAAGTTTAACTTGTTTCTCTCTAAATTCGTCTAATTTTAAGTCATTAATTTCATATCGAGAACTGTTCTGCATTCACTATAAATCTATGTCCAAATTTTTCAAGTTTTATTATGCCTTTAGACTTGTTAAGCTGATCGACTAACTTAAAATTGTTAAGGATAACAGTACCTCAAGTACCCCTCGTATGATATTGTCTGCTTTGATCATGACCTTCACAACTATGCTTTTGATTTCACTCAAAAGATCTCAGTGGAGATAATTGTCTTCATCTATATACTATGAATCATTCTCTTTCTGAGCTAATGTGTGACTTTGTTTATACTCCTCACAAACCTAACAAAAATATCTTAATTGAAGAGAAGGGATTTGGACCCATTGAATTGCAAGAGAAGTTACTAATTTTTTTTTTACTTGATTTAAGGGTTATATTTAGCCAAGGTTATCAATTGGCGAATTATAAAGATGGGAAAAACTCATGTACACATACGTATCATATTCTCCTTTTGTTTATGGTATAGTTTTGTCTTTATAAATAAATTTTAATATTAGTAAACCCCACCTCATTTTAATACGATATTAACATGATTAAAGAAATCAGAATGAGGTTTTGCATGTGAGAGAGAATGATGAGTCTTCTTGCAAGTAAGAGAATCGTTTTCACTTCAGAGATATGAAAAAATGAGAAGAAAAGAGAAAGAAGAGGAAAAACAACCAAAGGACTGACCGCTATATTAAGGATGAATAAATTATCGTCAAAGTGAGCATAGTTTAATGATAATTGACATATATCTYAAATGAAGAGGTTGTAGATCTCTCACACCTTCCATGTTGTACTAAAAAAAGGATGAATAAACTACCACTCAATCTAAAAGTTTGAGTTGATGGACTGRATAAATTTAATTACTTATCTCAACACACCATTTCACTGCTCGATATAATTTTAAAAACAAAGTTGTAAAGATTATATTCACAAAAAGACAATATCATATCATTACGAAAATGTGGGTATCCATAACTAAGATTTTCATTCAAAAGATTTTATCGAGGGATCCAAATTATGGATACTTGTACCCAAACTAACCAATCCAATCAAATAAAGAGAATAGAGATTAAATGAGAAAAAAAATGGCTAACATGAATCTAACTCACATASAACGCATTTTCTTTTAAGTTCAGAGTTTATAAATTTCAAAAATATTTTATATATTATACTAAAAAAAGGCAAGGAAAGATACAGGACAAATAGGAAGATGATGGAAATAGTATGAAGGTCAGAGTAAGATTGTAAAGTGTCATCCATGCAATGTTAATTAGTATTCTCTAATCAATATATATCTATGATTGTTCTTGCATTTTTCTTTTTGAAACGTGAATATAATATTTATAATTATTATAAGGTATGTTTCATAAATTATTATAGATATATATTTTATTTATTATATAAGAATTAAAAAAATAATTTATTATAAATATGTTAATATTTATAAATACACTACTAAACAAAAATTTATCATTTCAAATGTCGAGATCCAAATTTTGAATATAAAATATAAAATATAACTCTTTATTTTAGAATTAAACACATTCTTAATTCTTAATGTTTTATTAGATTAAATTTATTTTATAATTCAACATGGTCTAACCTGATATATGTGATTTTTTAAATAATTATTTGTTTGGATCTCTATTTTTTTAGGTATAATATGTGTAGTCGAAAACACATTAAAATCGTAAGGATCAAATTAAAACTAAACGATTCAAATCATAGTGAATAAAATTGTAATATTTTATTTGGAGGCAAATGAGGGTAACTCAATGATATTTTAAGACATATCCTCCTTAGTTTTTCATATTTATTATGGTAAATATTTTTAAAAATTTAATTTAACCTAAAAAATTTTGAAGATCAATTAAGAAATTATGTAGCAAAATAAGATTTAAACGTAGCCTTTTCTTAAACTTATATCCCATTTCGATTTTTTCTATATTTATTCAATCATATTTTCTAATTCTTTAAAATATCTATTTTAGTCCCTAAATTTTGAAGAAATAATATTTTAGTCTATGAACCTACAAAAGGTCTATTTTAATTCTCAAATTTAAAAGTAATAATTTTTTTGGTTCTTACCATTCTTAATATTTGTACAATCTAGACTATATGATTCTATTCATGTATACATCAACACTCTATTATACATATTTGAATTTTAGAAGATTTCAACTCACAACTTTTTAGTCGGAGATAAATGTCTTAATTAACCAATTGAGTTATGTTCAGGTTGACACATAATTACTTTATATATTTGTTAAAAATAAATAAAAGTGAGGATTAGAATAATTTTATTTATAGGTTAAATGTATATTTTAGTTCATAATGTGTTTTTTTGTTTTCTTTTATTTTGGTCTCTAATCTTTTGAAAGTTTCAATTTCATCCGTAATGTATTGAAAATTTTCTAATTAAAACCTTACTATCATTAAACGTGCAAATTAATTGCCAAAATGATTATGTATTGTCAAACTATACTTTATTTAATTGAGTTAAAAGCAATCTAAGTTTTAATTTGATGAGCCTAAAGCGAGCATAGCTCAACGCTAATTGACATATACCTCTAACCACAAGATCGTGAGTTTGAATCCTCTCCCCAACATATTGTACTAAAAAAAAGATTTAATTTGATGAGATATTTTTAATACTCGCTCATAAAATTAATAATTTACTCATTTCACATGACTTAGTATGTACTAACTTACCTTACTCTAAATTATTAATTAATTGTTATAGAAAATTGACCTATTAAAATGGTGATGTACTAATTGTACTTATCGGGTAAATTCGAGGCGACATGCCCTTGAGCCCCAATCGGCCACATGGACGAAACCCAGATTAAACCGAGCGCTGCACTTGAGCGGTCCGAATTAGAGTGTCGGTGGTCCTCACACCATACTCCCTCTCCCTCCGGATAAATGAAAAACTTGAACCTTGACAAAGTTATGCAAAGACTGTGGCACAAATTCTTACGAGAACTCTCTATGACATACACTCTTACACAAGACTACTCTTGTCATCTCATTATACATCTTCCATATCTCTATTCGCTCCCATCTTGAATACTAACTTAGGTATTAGAGTGTATTCGAMAGAGCATCACACCAGTGCAAAATTTCTGTACATAGGTGAAGTTCGAGCTAAGAAAGAAAGACGTACGTGACACTCAGTCCAAAAATCAGCATCTAACACTAACTACTGTCAAACTCATAAAATTACTGTTGTTAAATTCATGTAAGGTCATTCTTTTAGTTTTAGTAATTGGTGAGATCTTAATTGAAAAAAAAAACCAATGCATAAGAGTTATGATTGAGACTTTTAGAAGATTGTAGCCAAAAAAGTCGACTCCATTGAAACTAAAATTATGGTGGTGGGTCATAAGAGGTGACTACTGAACTATATATTTAATTGCCTTTTAAATTTTTTTGTCTGCTTGGAAAAAGTTACCAAATGAAGCTGTTATTTGCATTGTTTTTTATTTTTAATAATTAAAAATAAATTATGTTGTTCCACCTATTTATATTTTGGAACAAATTAAAAATGTAAATAAGAAAAAAAATTTATTTGACTTGTTTATATAATTTGAGAGAATTATTTCTAAATAATAAGAAACAAGAAAGATAAATAATTACACATACGCTTCAATCTTCGTGAAAATTGAAAACTTAAAACGAAGAACGCAAAAGGTTACCGAAACGATCCAATAATTGGATTGGAGATATTGCATTGGAACTTTCTCAACTATTATTGAACGGTCTACAATAATTTTGAGCAGCTCACGTTATATTAAAAAGCGTACAAAATTGCATTAAATAAATCTGCCTCCAAACTGTCTCCCTCCAATCCCAGGCTTCCATAGCACTCTATCTCTATCCGAGCTATCAGATAACAGTACACTTTGCTCGCCGGAAAACTCCTCTCCGACCTCCGCCATGGAAGGTAAATCGCCGGCTGCTACTGGACTTCACTCTATCCGCTGTAGAGGTACTTCTTCAGTTATCTTGTCTTTGGGATTGATTTTTTCTACCGAATGTCTCTTCCTCATCTCCTTTGAAATGTTTGATGTTATAATGCGTTTGAAATTTGTTAGCTGCTGTTTGCCGGAAGCCTGGTGAGCCACTAGTGATTGAGGAGATTTTTGTGGCGCCGCCAATGGCTCGTGAWGTTCGAATTCGGATAATATGCACTTCTTTGTGTCACAGCGATATCACGTTCTGGAAGATGAAGGTTCGTTCGTCTTGTAATGCTTCTCATTTTGAAATGTAAATTTTATAGAATGAAGTTAGTTTTTACTAATTTTGGATATTCCACTTCCGAAGGATTTTCCGGGGATTGTTCCTAGAATTCTTGGCCACGAAGCTATCGGGTGAGTTCGACATCTTTGTTCAACCTGCTTCTAAATTATTTTCAATCACCGGCGTTGGGATAATTAATTCGATCTCATTGAATGTTTCGACATTGAAGTTCCGAACTCTTGTAATTTGCATTTGGTATAGCGATATTTCAGAAGGATTATATAGACTCTACTAAACTAAAAATTTCTGAATGTTTTTTTCTCTAATTTTCAAATTTGAGCAATTTATGGCAATTTTTTTATTGTAAGCAGTGATTGATTGCTCATGCTCCGCCTAAAACAACCACAGATGAATAAACTCCTTGTGTACCAAAACATTTAACAATGTCGGTTCATTTATAATTGATCCCAAATCACCTTATGCTTGGGAATTATATTCATGCTGCATCTCTTTATGCTTGATCTGAGAATCTCTACCTTTATTTAAAAAATTTCTGCCTGTTCGTTTCATGTTGCAGAGTGGTGGAGAGTGTAGGAAAGGATGTTCATGAAGTTAAGGAAGGAGATACTGTTATCCCTATATTCATGGCTGATTGTGGAGAGTGTGCAGATTGCTTATCAGATAAGAGCAATCTCTGCTCTAAACTCCCTTTCCGGATAGTTCCGGGGATGCCACGCTGTGGGACCAGCAGATTCACAGATCTTAATGGAGAGGTTCTTCATCATTTTCTGTTTGTATCAAGCTTCAGTGAATACACAGTGGTAGATATCGCCAATGTACTAAAAGTAGATCCTGAAATCCCTCCAAACAGGGCATGCCTCCTTAGTTGTGGGGTATCAACAGGTCACTGCCTAATCCAGTACTTAGTATTGTGAAGATTTTGAATTTGTATTCACCTGAAACTGGATGATTTTGAGATCTGACATAATTAGTGATTCCTTTAATTGAGCACAAAAGCTAGTTCTGTTCTTGAAATGTGGCTCCTGCAGTTTCATGAATTTTGGGGAAAGTATAAAGGCCGTGGTTTTCTTATTTCTCTTTGAAGATTATGCTAAAATATCATGAGTAATAGAATATCATTTGTGAAATTATACTATGTTGTCTTGAATATTACGTATACTTGACTATTCTGAGAGCACTCATAACTTATCAAATTGTTAAAACATTTGGTTTTAGGGGTTGGTGCGGCGTGGAGAACAGCAAATGTGGAGAAGGGATCCACTGTTGCCATATTTGGACTAGGGTCCATAGGTTTAGCTGTATGAATTGTTTATTGACTTCGTTTTAATAAAACTTTTGACGGGCTATGTTACAAACTTAATGGTTCACTGTTGCTTGCTGTTATAGGTTGCTGAAGGAGCAAGACTATGCGGAGCAAGCAGAATTATTGGGATAGATATCAACCAAGATAAATTTGAAAGTGGCAAGTACTTTACTTTTCATTCTTAATTTCCCTTCCTTGGATAAAGGAACCATAATAAAAATCAAATCGTGAAGCTCCCSTTCATTGAAGGAGCAATGTGTTTCAAGGTACAATGCTCAATCATGTGCAAGCGTTGTTATTTAGACTTATAGATCACTATAAGCATTTATGATATATCTCATTGTTATTGAATAAGTAGTCATAAAAATGTGTTCATTTCCTAAACGCAGCGAAAAAGTTTGGAGTAACGGAGTTTGTTAATTCTGGAAGTCTCGAGGATAAATCTGTGAGTCAGGTATGTAGGTTATCAACAAGACTGAATGTGATTCGGTTTCATATTCCCATCAAACTTGTGGTCTTAACAACAAATAATAGCTTACCAGTTACCACTCACTTACCAGTTATCAACAAGACTACTGGAGATATTGTGCAGTCATACCGTTGGATTCTAAACATTATTTAGTGCTCTATTACGAGGCGATGTCTTTATTTATAACACTTGAAATCAAGTTAAGAGTGAGAATGGAGATCCTTGTTGCTCCATGAATGGTAAAGGAGCTTTGTAACACTTCGGTTTGATGCAAGTGCTGTTATTATACAGTTTCTGGCAACAGTAAGAAGATAGGAATCACCCTTGGGGGAATTTGGGTTATTAATAGAATAGTAAGAGTAAGTAATTAGATTGATTATAAATAAATAACAATTTTTCTTTGCCCCTTCTGATCTCAATGCTGTTCAGGTAATTATTGAAATGACTGGTGGGGGTGCGGACTATTGCTTTGAATGTGTTGGAATGGCTTCCATAGTTCAAGAAGCATTTGCAAGCTGCAGACAGGTCCTCCCAATTGACATTTTCTTTGATCATCCATACTTTTTGACAATACCTTTTTTTTGTTATCTATGTCTGGTTCATTTTTATCTTTCAATTGGATCAAGTGTGATTGATATGCTTGACACGGGTGATACCGACCTAACTTTTAAATTTTACCAATGTTCTTCGATAAACTAAAAAAATTTGGCAAAATTAAAAAATTCTATTTTTGAACCATAAGAATTGTTACTCGACTTATGACCTAATTGTTTGTGCAATTTTATAAGTTATTGGATATAATTGCAACAATTAATGTTAACCATCTTTATAACTGTAACAACTCTTATTGTTAAAGGCAAACTTATAGTAGTATAGTTTAAGTATAATGATTTTTTTAATTTGAAGATATAATTGCAAGTTCAAAGGTACGATTATAACAGTTCTACGATAGTTAGTTCAAGATTGACTTTACATTTATTGTTACCATTCCTATTTGACTTCAGGGTTGGGGAAAAACAATCGTGTTAGGAGTGGACAAACCGGGCACAGTTTTGAGTTTAAGCTCCTATGATTTTCTTTTTTATGGGAAGACTGTCATGGGATCGTTGTTTGGAGGACTAAAGCCCAAATCAGATGTTCCCACTCTCATTAAATGGTACACAGATAAGGTAACCTACAATCAATAATTGTATTGCTTCTAGATTTGAATTATCCACTATTATATATATCACATAATTTTATTGATTTTAGAATCTTTAATCATCAGAAACTTGAGCTGGATAAATTTGTTACACACGAAGTAGTATTCGAAGACATCAATGAAGCTTTTAATTTGCTAATTGAAGGAAAGAGCTTGAGATGTGTGATTTGGATGAACAAATGAGCAAGCTTCACCCCATCTTGTAATTGGTTTGGCGTCGTTCTTTATCACTGCACTGTGCTGATCATACCTTATGATCGACCTTAATGGTACAAATAAAAACTTTACTCCTATGGACCTCAGCTTGTACTTTGAACGTTCAACCTTTCTTATTCACTATCACAAATCTCTCTTTAGATTAAAAACTAGATTCCTAAATCTATTGGAGAGGAGGTTTTTTTTTTGTTTTTGTTTTTTCAATTTTTTCGGGATAATCTAAATGTTGGTTCATAATACTTCTAGTATTACTATAAAAATAATAAAATAATAATAGTTAGGCATTTCCTAATATTATAGTTCATATTCTAATATTTTTTTATACATACTATAATTCACACAATGTTTGAGATATTATGATGATGTTACATGTAATCAATGAATGGCTATAGTCCAATATCCAACTAAATTATTTTTAGGGCAGCTGGGAGTATAGTAAAAAAATTAATAGTTAATTGTAAACATAGCAAAAAAAAAAAAAAAAAATGGAGTTCAAACCCAAACGAAAAAATAGAAAATTTGGTTATACCTTGATATTGTTATACTTTTATAAAGTATAACATTCACACTAAATATATATGATATATCTAAAATTAGGGGGTGTASGAGCTAAAGATATATATATATATTTTTATAAAAACAATTTTCCTTTCCTATATCATATACCTTTCACGTGCAATTTATATGAATTCATGTTTGATTTCTCTTTTTAGTACAATAACATTTGAAGATACAGATTCGAAGTCATAATTTTTTAGTCGAGGATATATGYCTTAGTTAATCATAAATTTATTAGTATTATTGATTATCATATAAAATAAATTTATGCTAGAGCGAGCATAGCTAAGTGGTAATTGATATATACAATCTATTAAATATATATATATATAAAATAAATTTATAAGTTTTCTAAATAATAATAATAATAAAAAAAAATTTATAAGAGTTACCATTTTGTAAGTAAACAATAATTTAAAACTGATTTCTTCTCGCCGGTCGGAAATCTGGAACGACCATTGCAGCGACTTCGTTGTTCCACATTCAGATCTGGTCGAACGCAAAGGGAAGGGAACGATCCTTCGTTATAGTGCGAAGGATCCACGGGCTTCAGCGGAAGCGAGAGGAAGAATAGGCGACCGGCGAAAAAAGGGCGGTTCGTTGAAAGAGATGACTGCSACGGCCATGACTGCCGGAGGATGAAGATGTAGCGTGAAGATGAAGGGAGAAGAGAAGGAGAAGGAATGAGAGAAAAATGCCACCTCGCAGAGGAAAAAAATAATAATAGTAAAGTTTTTAAAATACAAGGAGTAAATATATTAGAATGTAAAAGAAATTTTAAATTACAAGAATTAAATAGTGACGTTCTCAAAGAATAAATTTATAATATAATCATTCTAGGTATAATATATATAGAAAATATTGGTTTAAATAAATTTTGTACCTATTCTTTCTTTTTTGAGTGAGGGTGGAGGTGGGGTTCGAAAACATGACCTCTTGATYGGAGACAATGTATTAATTACTGTTGAGCTAAATTTATGTGTTGGCTATACTTATACTTTATTTTATTTTGATCACTTTTTCTTTCGACATAAAACGTSCGACAACTCAACAGAAGTAAGAGAATCCCTTACTAGAAGAAACAGAAGTGCCCGGTCATACTTCCCTCACATAAAGACTAATGTCTCGTTTGATAACGTTCCAATTTTTTGTTTATCGTTTTTAATTTTTTAAAGAAATTTAAACATTCTGCAACTAACTATATTTYTTGTTTCTCTTTTTTTCTAGAACATTTTCAAAATTATATAGAAATTTTGGAAAYGGCCAGAATTAGTTTGTACTTTTTTTTTGTTCTCATTTTAAATTTGTTCCAAAATATAATTAAAAAATATAATTTTATTATATTTGAATTAACATTCATTTTCTTTATTAAAAATGAGAAAGAAAAATAAAAAAYAAGAATCTTACCAAACTGAGTCCTAAATAAACTCGAAGGCTAGCCAACCCGCCTTTGATTCATTATTTTGATCSCTATGTTTTCAAAGGGAGAAACTTTGATGGGTAGCAATACATATACTCTTTTCTATTTGTAGATTTATTTCAAGGAAAACCATTTGTCAGATTTTCTTTTTAATTTCCACGAATATTTATAACATTTTAGGTAATTCCAACTTTAATTACCACCTCTTCTTCTTCTTTTTGGAGTATCTTATATGGGAGCAGAGAATCAAACTCACGACTTTTTAGTCGGAGATATGTACTTTAATCACGTGAGCTATGCTTAGCTTGGCATAATCTTATTTCTTGTTATCTTAGTTTTTTTCTCTATATTTATAACAAAGGTCTCTTCCGACATATATACTAATGAATTTTTTGACAAAAATTTTGCATCGAAAAAACTTTTTCCAGAGATTTCTTTTTTATACTTTTGCCAATAGTTTTCTGTGTCGAAAAAAAATATTTCTAATAGTGTGAGTTATCTTCTTTATGAGGTTGATGGTTCTCACGACATGGGCCAAACATGAAACTTGTGCAGAAAAGAAATAAGCAAGGTTAGATTTTAGCTACCCTAATTTTATGTATGTTTTAATATAATATATGAGGTAGGATTCAAACTTACGATCGAAAATAAGTATCTTAACCAATTGAATTATATTCAGGTTGAACAACAACATAAAATAGGTAAAAAATAGTTTTTTCCAAAAGAAAAAAATGTAAAGATGAATTCCAAATAAGGTATTTTTCAAAAGTCATCCCTAACTCACACAAGTATCTTGTCATAAGCTTATCATAAAAAATAAAAAAAATAATATATTTGTTTCCTTTCCATTTTTCTTTTTCTTTTTCTTTTTTTCTTTTTGTTTAGAAATTAAGAAGAAACCAACTTAAAATAAATCAAGTTCCAAAAAAACTAAATTATCTGTCCACGTGGGAGTTTGACAACTCCAACTTTTCCCTCAAATCATCTTCCATCACTCGTCTGGCTAAACTATAGGCTACCTCGTTTTCCTCTTGACTAATATGTTTCATTGAGGCTATTTCCATATTTTCCATCATCTGTCGGATTTCTTTTAGAAGCCAAATAATTTGAGTTTGATCTTGACACTGTCTGGTAAGGAGATGAATCGCTTCAAGAGAGTTGGATTCCAGATGAACTGGTCGACATTGTTTTTATCGAATCGCATGCAAGCCCTTGTAAATAGGCATCACCTCCAGGTACGTAGAATCCCTTTCCTCTCTTGTTATTCTACAGCCTTCTGTGATAACTTGTCCCTTTTCATTTCTTAAAATCTAGCCAATTCCTCCGATGTTTGTATCCRCTCGTCATGTTGCATCTGTGTTTAATTTCCACAAATTTGGCATTGGAGGGTTCCATCGGGCTTTTGTATTGTCTCCAATTCGCCTTGTCGGTGCGATTTCTTGTTTGTAGAATTTCCTTCTGGATTTTTGTTTCCGCTTGCACTGTTGTTTATGTATATGTCAATCGCCATTTGAATGTCTTTGGTTTCTGGATGAACTCCTTTGAAATTTGATTTGTTCCTCATTTTCCAAATCTGCCAAGCTATGATCATGTTACTGTGACGTTCTTCTTCGCCATATCTATTAGCCATTCCCAATACTCTTGTGGTCCAGTTTGTCCGRTCAATGTAGAAAATTTTTTGCTTCAATAGAGATACAGTTCATCCATATATTTTTTTATTACCTTACATTCCTATAAGATATGCTGAGTAATCTTTTCTTTTTTCCTAAGAAAGACAAAACAGATCAATAATAATTATATTTCTTATCAGATTAGCTTTAGAAGGAAAAKAATATCATTATTATAACTCTTCCAACAACAAATTTTAATTTTTGGGGACACATCAATTTTCCAAAATTTGTTTCACCAAAGCTTTTGATTTTACGCCATTAGAAGAAGAACACTCTCTTACTTGCTCCAACTCCATCCCCAAATAATAGGTGCTTCTAAAAGTGAACAACCCACGTTTGTCTTTATTTCATATAATTTCATCATCTTGACTTTGTCGTTGTAAAGGAATTTTAAATTTTAAAGGATCATTTTAACTTCTTCCTCACAAAAGTTATCACGGACAAGATTTACAGACAAGATTCTATTGATTTAAACTTTACGCAATATTAGAAAAAAACCAATCAATTATCCTAAAATTGCAACCAATTTAATGTAAATTTTAATATATTTTCTTTTAAGGTTGGATTGATTTCTACTTTTTCCTAAATAGAATAGTTTGAAATTTCTATAAATTGAGCTTTTTCTATATATCACCATTTTTTTCTTGAACTCTCTCACAGATTCTTCCACCCTCTCCACAGTCCCTTCTCCATTTATTTTATTTTTCCCCTCTCCATTTAGCATTCCATCTACAGTCAACGCTGAAATAAGGCAAAAATCAGAGTCAATTTAAAAATTTGTGAGTTTCACGATCTTAAAATGCGCTACCATATATTATTAGCTAAGTTTGTTTAATAATGCTAACTTTTTTTATACGTATAATATATAATTATTTGAGTTGTTTGTGACATTTAAATCTTTTGAACAATATTTTAAATTTTTATTTGGTTAATTCATCCTGTCATAACTTTTCTTAATTCCAATTTGTGTGTATATATATATTATGTTAAAATTTTCATGTTTGTCATTGATGTATTTTGCTTAGTTACAATAATTATGTTATAAATATTTGAATAAAATTTTTACAACTTTTTGACAATATGTGACTTGAGATTTTTTGGCGCACCAAAAATTATGAGGCCTAAGGTTTTATTTAACATTAAGACATTGTAAAAGCTAAAGAGATTTCCTTTCCAGGAAGAAGTTTGACCGTCACAACAAATGAAATTTTTTCGTATAGCAAGAACATGAACAACCTCATTATTCTCTCTACGCACATGCAAGCATGTGCTATCACTTATAAAATATCTAAATATTATTTTATAATATGATCATAATGATTTTTCTAATATTATTTTTATAAAAATGTTGCAACTATCATTTTGAAATAATGGTAGACTTGTAAAAAAAGTCAACGATGGAAATTGAAAAAAAATAATAATCCTTTTAAGAAAATAAAGTTACACTTTAAATAAAAATTATAATAAAATAATGATTTTAATAGGAGACAAATTTTAAATTCTTTTACACAATAATATTCAAGTAAATTTAGACAATAGAAAATATAGGACTTAAAATTAAGCTAGGATTAATTAGGAGGGAACGTGTTCAAACTTCATAATTGACCACTTAACTTAAGAATTAGTAATTCCTATATGTTTCATGACAACAAATGTTGTATGGTCAAATAGTTGACCCGTAAAATTAGTCGATAAGCTGACTCGAACACTCACGGATATAAATAATAATAATAATAATAAACAAGCTGCAAAATACAAGGACGAAAATATATTTTAATGAATAAAATATTAGATGGCAAAGTAAGATGTAAATGTATTTGTTTATTCACAAGTAATTAGTTTTAATATAATGGTATAAAATTAGATTCAATCTGATTCCGAGTTCGAACGACTCATTAAACTGCAGCTTCATCCGTTCGCCGGAAAACTCCTCTCCGACCTCTGCCATGGAAGATAAATCGTCGGCGGCAACCGGAGTTCGGTCAATTCGGTGTAGAGGTAGTTGTTGGATTAGTATTATTTGATATATTACGTTTTGGGCCGAATTAATTATTAAATGTGTGTTCATAATTATCATATATATAAATAATTTGAAATTATTATGTTAAAAAATAAAATTTGTTAGCCGCTGTGTGCCGGAAGGCCGGCGAGCCACTGGTGATGGAGGAGATAATGGTGGCGCCGCCGATGGATCGTGAGGTGAGAATTCGGATAATTTGCACCTCCTTGTGTCACAGCGATATTACCTTTTGGAGAATGAAGGTTCGTCTTCTCTTTTATTTATTTATTTTTCTTTTTCTTTTGCAATGTAAAGTTTTATAGGATTAATTAATTTTCTTTTTTAATTAAGGTCCCAATTGGTAACATATTTTCTTGTTTTTCTTTTTGAAGAAAAAACATAACTTATCTTTGGTAAGTTTTTTATTCCTCTACCGAAACATAGCAATTATTTCTTGTTTCTCATGGTTTAAAATTTTAGATTAAAAATAAAAAAGTACAATTCTTACATGAAATTTATTATTAACATAGGGAAAATTGCACATATACTTATATATATTAGATTTTTATCATATACATATAGCATAACACTTCCATGAGTGGTATATAAGATGTATATCACATACATATTACAAGTATATCAGACACTTATGTCAGTAGTATATCAGATATATATCATATACATATATCAGTAGTCAGACATATTATAAATATATTACAGATATATTATTTGTTATTTTAAAATTCGACATCCGTTTTTTATAAGTGTTATATTTGAAAAAATTAAATGTGGTTACTATTTTGCTGATTTTACTGCATATATATTATATATATGTGTTTTGAAAAAACCTAGAAACAACAAACTTTGATTGATTTTGCTAGTTGTAGAAACTTTACTTAACCTTGAGAAAGGAGGAATATAAATACTTACTAAACTCTTATATTTCCAAAAAATGAAAAATGAGAAATAAAAAAAAAACGAGAACGTTATCAAACAGATCCTAAGTAATTTTTTTCACTCAATTTTGCATATTCCGTTTCCAAAGGATCCTCCGGGGATTTTTCCGAGAATTTTTGGCCACGAAGCTATCGGGTGAGCTCCTCCTTCCACATCTCTCTCTTCACTCTACTTTTAAATTTACTAGGCATCCTTAAGATGATTTTTTTTATCTTTTAAATTTTTGACAATCCACAAATGATATTATGCCATGCAAATTTATCATAATTAGCCAACTCTAACATTTACCATGGATCTAAGAACATGAATTAAAGGGCTTGGTTGATACTTGATACCAATACACGTATTGTTTTATGTTGTTGTAGAGTGGTTGAGAGTGTAGGAAAGGATGTAAATGAAGTTAAAGAAGGAGACACTGTGATCCCAACATTCATGGCAGACTGTGGGGAGTGTAGAGATTGCTTATCAGATAAGAGCAATCTTTGTTCCAAATTCCCTTTCCAGGTTTCTCCAGGAATGCCTCGCTGTGGAACAACCAGATTCACAGATCTAAATGGACACCCTCTTTATCATTTTATGTTTGTCTCAAGTTTCAGTGAGTATACAGTCGTCGATATCGTCAATGTCATCAAAATAGATCCTTCGATCCCTCCAAATATGGCGTGCCTCCTAAGTTGTGGTGTCTCAACAGGTCACTGCCTAAACCCGTTACTTACTATTATTCAAACTTACGATATTCTAGTCAAAGATAAGTGTCTATAAACGATCGTTAATTAAACATTTAATTTGGTTTTAGGGGTTGGTGCAGCATGGAGAACAGCAAATGTGGAGAAGGGATCCACTGTTGCCATATTTGGGATGGGGGCCATAGGTTTAGCTGTAAGAAATTTTCTTTTAGTTAGACTTTAATTTGTTTGAMATTAATACAACTTTGGGAGGCCATTTTAAAGGCTTCATTGTAATTTTAATTTATGGTTCTTGCTATAGGTTGCTGAAGGAGCAAGAATATGTGGAGCAGCCAAGATCATTGGGGTAGATGTCAACCCAGATAAATTTGAAACCGGTAATTATTCCAAAAYTCAAATATCCAAGTCTCAATTGTATGCATGTGTAGACAGGTACATTGATATTAGTGGATATTTTTTTAAAAAAATTATATAAATAAAAAAAAATCTTATGAGATTATTTCAAGTCATAAAGGATAATGTTACCAATTCTTAAACAAATTTGTTTACAAGAATGGTRACATTCCTCTATTATGTATCTTAAATGTTTTGTTGGTATTTTTTATACTTCATTTATTGGCTTCTAAGATTGACGTTCAAGYCTCATATATATGAATATATCGACATATCAACAAATATTTTAATCCTTAATTTGTTCTGTTTCTATATAATGTCTATTTCTTGATATGCAGCGAACAAATTTGGAGTCACCGACTTTGTTCATGCTGGAAACCTTGGCAACAAATCTTCGAGTCAGGTATGCGTAGGCCATCAACGAGGTAGAATGTGACTCGGGTGTTTTATATATTCTCATCAATTTTGTGAGCAAGATGTGTAGGATATATCGATATATCAATGGATTTTTTTTATCATAGCATCTCCATAATATTGAACAGGTGATTATTGAAATGACGGATGGAGGTGCAGACTATTGCTTTGAATGTGTTGGAATGCCTTCTTTAGTTCACGAAGCATATGCAGCCTGCAGACAGGTCCAATTCCCTCTCTCTCTCTCACAATATTTTTAAATACTCCTTCTATTTATTTGTTTATGTGTTGTTTATTTTTATAAAAAGGTATAATTTCAAAATCTAAACAAAATTATGAAAACTAAAAAACTGTTGATTCTAATTTTTTTATTTTATAATTTAATTAATAATTTAAATGTAGTTTTTAAGAAAGGTAAAAAACACATTAAAAAGTTTATGAAAATCAAGTAAATTTTTCAAATGTAAAATTAGAAATGAATAGTTATCAAATGGGTCTTGGTAAAAATTTCGAACTTTTTTTTTGGAACTATTTGACATTGTTATAATTATTGTACCATCCAAGTTTCAATAAAGTAATAATTATCCCCATCAAACTTGCACGTTATAATGGCTTTTATGGTGTAAGTTTGGTTTAATTTGTGTATTTTTCTAAGCTATGACTAATGGAGTTACAGTAATATGATTTAATTACAATGAATTCAATAAAATTGGTCAAAAATCACTACAAGAAAAATTGGCTTTTAACGACGAAAATATTTCACAAACAATTTTGACAAAAAGTTTTGTTGCTGAAATTCTTCATCGCTGTTTTTGGCGACGAAAAGCTCTTCCCATCACTTTCAATCGGTGATGATCGTCGCTCATATTGGCGACAAAACATTCTTTCATTGCTATAAAACGTCCCTAAAACTTCTTTTTCTTGTAGTTAAAGCCGAAGAGGATGATTACAAATTTTTTTTGCCTAACTATTAGTTTATGCAAACTCATTATCTCAGGGTTGGGGAAAAACAATTGTGTTAGGTGTAGCGAAACCAGGGTCACTATTGAGTTTTAGCTTTTTGGATGTGATTCATTTTGGGAAGATTCTTGTGGGATCACTTTTTGGTGGACTAAAGCCAAAATCAGACATTCCCACTCTCGTTCAATTGTACAAAGATGAGGTAAACCTACAATTAATTAATTAATAATTGTGTTGCTTAATTCGTGATGTGAATTCCAAAATGATTTTAATTAGAATCTTTTAACCAATATCAGAAACTTGAGCTGGATAAGTTTGTGACGCAAGAAATAGGGTTCAAAGACATCAATGAAGCTTTTAATTTGCTAATTGAAGGGAAGAGCTTGAGATGTGTGATATGGATGAACAAATGAGCAAGGGCTTCACCACATCTCTTGTAATTGCTTGCCTTCCTTGTCTATCAACAGTAGTTATATGTACTTGTTTTCATAAAAACTTCACTACTATATAGGGAGTTTATATAGCTTGTATTTTTAAATTTTTGATGCTGAATAATAATCATTAGACATTTTTGCCTACTTCAATATTGTTCCTTTAAGGCCGGTGTATTTGACCAAAAAGTTGTGAATTCGAATTTTCATCTCCACATGTTGTGTTGTACTAGAAATAATAGGTATTTTTTAGAGTACGTAGTTCATATTATAATTCAGACAACAGTTGGGTATTATGAGAACTATCATGGATCGTTCATTGGTTCAAAGAGACGACTATGATAAAGTGAGAAGGGAATGAGTTCAAACACATGATAACCACCTACCTAAAGAATTAATTTATGTGTTTTCTGACGTCACAGACTATATATTATTTAAGTCGTAGCACAAGTCTCTTTATTTGTGAGTTGGATCCCCACCCCTCCCTTAAAAAAAAAATAAAGGCAAAATCTAAATGTGCTCATTTTACTCCAAATTAATTATAAACATTACCATTTAATTAGTACAATTGCTTGAGTGGTCTCATTTGGTGGGTTTGAATTTATGGACCATTCAATGGATCCTGATACCACGCGATACTACAGTTTACTTTTTGTTCAATTTGGCATGTGGATGGGCAAATTCAGAGATTAATTATTTTGAGTGGGCAAAATTAATAATAATGGATCCCAAAAGTGGACCATTGGTGAAGATTATTGTGGGAACAATAACCAAACTTTTGTCACTTTTTAAGTTATTCAAAATCAATTAATCATTGTTGGTAAGTTTTTTTTCCCCGCCAACTTGATGCTTTAGGTCAATGGAAGATCAAAATAACATAATGTTATATTCTAAAAGAAAAAGAGTCTACTGTTTCTCTAACCCCTATTTGTTTCCCACTAAATTTTGAATTTGAAATCATCATGTGGTTCTAAATCCATTTTTAACTTAATTTTTTCTTTTTTCATCCTAAATAGCTTTGGTGAGATTTTAGGTTGAAATTTATCTAATTTTAAATTTAACTGTAATTGCAGAAAATGTTAGGAAGTTACCACCTCTATACTCAACTATATATCTTTCGAAATATTATATTGCAAAGTTGTCAAGGATACAGAAAAGAGACTAGCGTGCAAGTAATATTTTCTTATACTATTTCTATCAGATTATGTTTTCTTGGTAAATTAATTACGTTTGAATTTGTAAAAAAATTTCAACGTGAGAGGATTTTATCATTTTTGGAACTGAGATATATGCTGCGTACGCATCAAATTAAAAGCAAATCTAGTAGATTTTTTTTTTCTTACTTTCTTTAATACTTAATTGGTCATCGTGTAAATTTGAGATGACATAGTTGGTCCAAAGGACATTCTATATCCAAACCGTGATACAGCTAAAGGGAACCACTCAGGACCTCGCCATGCCCTTGATGATCTCAGGAGTCCCTACGATCCTGAGGGGGTGTGGTATACTACTCCCTTTTGTTTGCCCCACACACAGAAAACCTCCGTTGCTTTTTCTCTATATAGGGAAATTAAAAGAGAAACCTTAATGAAGGTAAGTCATCTTTCCTACCCAACTCTTTGTGAGGACTCGCACAAACTCTCTAGAAAAATTCTTGAGATTAATGTCCTCTTATTCTTGAGTCTCCATACTTTAGATTTCAAACTTAAAATCTAATTATATTTAAACATTAGAGTGCCAACATTTGGCAGTGTTAGATTTTTGTGTGCAAGTATGGAGATGAAGACTTGCGTGGGACCTATGTGAACATAATAAAATCCAATTTTTGGGATTTTGTGGCATATCTAGAAGTATTTCCATGTTCTAAAATGACTTGTATTTCAGGACATAGTTGAAAGTGATTTTGGCATGATCAAAATCATTATTTTTTCATTACCAAAATCACTTTCCACTTAAAATAGGAATGTTTGAGAAATGAGAACGATATTCAAGCATAGTTTTTTTATTTATTAAATTAGATAAAAAAATTACAATAATGAAAATTAATGTAATTTTGATGTGTTAGAAACTATATTGAAAAAGATTGAGTGAGCAACCGAAACAATGGCATAAAATGCATAGAAAGGAAAAAAAAAAAGAGAGAGAGAGTATAAATTGGTCAACAATCGAAAATATCCATAGCTCGTAATAAGAAGTTACCTATAATTTATTTGACGTGGGAGAAAAAATAAAAATGCTTACGAATTCTAAGGCTAAAATAGTCATAATATACTTTGACAAAAGTATGGTCATCCTTTCATTTTTCAACTACATGTGTGAAAGTAGAGAGCATGAATGATGCTTTTACAGTTCCGAAGAGATGTTTTCAAATATATAGTTATTTGAATATGGAAATTTTACCTATGACATTCTAATGGTAAGAGAGACCTATTTTAAATTTCTAGAACTCATACGTGGTTTTTTTTTTCTTTTTTAAATTAATAAAGACATTGATGGTTTTATCTTAGCAATTGAAATGATTCATTACCAATTTTGTAAGCTCTTCCTATGACACTATTCCAAACTACAGTTAGGTTGTGCAATTGGCTAATTTATTAGCATGAGATTTCAATTCCGTTCTTTGAACATATACTTTTTTTTTTCTTTTTGAAAAGGAAATCAATCAACATAATAAAATCCTAGGTGAAATAACCATTGGCTGGGAAGATGACGTATACTATTTTTACCATGTAAAAAAATATATATTTATTTCTAATATCTTACTCTAACATTGTTTATGCAAAGATGAGCACAAGAGTGTGTTCCAGATTGCAGCTCGAACTCGGCCTCCGGACCGACCTGAACGCTTGGGCGGACCTGCACAAAAAGGTGAGCACTCCGACGATCAAGTCAGTATAGGTCGGATTCCAGTTTAGTTCGAGGCCCGAAATCATCGTACCTGATCGGGGAGTGAGGTCCTCTACTTATGGGTGGTAGTCCCGCTAATCTCGCGACGGTTACATTCGGTAATCTCGGGACCGTCGGTTACACCCGGTAATCTCGGGACCGACGGTTACGCCCGATAATCACGCCGCAGACAGTTGCTCACATCGGCCCCTACCGAGCTCCCCGGTAGGTCAGACCTGGGCCAGGTTCACCTCGGCCCTCATACTTAGCATTTGTCGACGTTAGTGGCGGCCATCTCGGCTATCCGAGCTGGGCATGACTCATGAGCCATCTTGGAGCACCAATAGGGGTCCTCCACGTGTCCAGGGTATTCCCTTCCCCAAACATTGGCCCCCTCTCTGTCTGGTCCGATCTCGACCTAGCAGAGAAGTTCATTCGACTTGCTTTGGACACGTGGCGACTTCCTATTCGTGGGAAAATACAACCGTCGCTGAAGATTTATCGTCGGAATATTCAAATATTCCGACGCTTCGGATCTCAGGGAGGATCCTAGCCGCTCGTTGATTACACGTGTACGGTGGGGAAATTCTTC